TCAAAGAATTATCGCTACTCTCCTTTTCCATAGTTCAGATCAAATTACCACCCTAATAAAATAAGTAAATATATCAAAAGTGAAGTTATTACAATCTGCGTCAAGTTGGAAAAAAAAGTTAGTTTAATTTTTTAAGTATTCCTCACACAATGTGTTATTTTCACATTATGGTGAAATTCCGACATACAAGGAGGAAGGTTATTGCATTAGATGGTATATACAGTGTGGTATATATAGCGTGTAGAGTAGGTGGTATACTGAGTGTGGTGCGCACCAGCCGTTGCTCTTGTTACCTCAAGTCCTTTTCGTACCGTCAGAGCAATACACTAAACATGCCTGTGAGTTATGTACATTTATTCTCGATTGTGACGTTGTTTTCCGAAAAGACTGATATAACGAGGTGTTCAGTGTTGAGGCATTGTTGTAGCCTTTTAATGAGATGTATTTTGTTGGGAATATTGCCGCCTTTATGGTGAATTAAGGAAGTTGAGATGGCAGCGTGTGGGACAATGTGGCAGCGGCCATGTTCGCATGGGACCTGTTTTATTTGTTATTTTTTCTTATTTCCTGTTTTGAACAAAGGTGAAATCTAGGCAGAAAGTAATCTGTTCCCAAGTAATTAAGGAATTGGTGATAATCCAGCATGATTTCTTTTATAAGCCATACACACCACATTGTGCGGCCTTTGTGATCCATATAACATTTTTTGTGAAGTTAAAGCACCACTCGTCGATGGTTATTACTACAGTGGTTTTGTTGCCTTAGCAACATGTTTAAGTTCATTCCTTCCAGCATTTCTCGTTTTTATTTTCACATTGATACCGAGGACCTCGATAGAAATAAGTCAGTTTCACTTCATTGGGTTACTCTAGGTGAAATCTACACAATGTAATATGTGAGCTTGTAGCAGCTTATGGTCGGTGACTCGCAGGTTAAATATATAGACCATGTCTTTGTAACAGATAGGAAAGTGAGACAGGGTGGTGGTTCCCTGGTGCTGGTGTTGGTGACAGTCAACAGGTTGGGTAATGAGGAAATGGTATGGTGATACCGACAAGATGTGGAAAAAGACATTCTCTCATGGGTCATAAAGGAATGCAAAGTGGAATCAAACGGTTCACTACAAACTGGTATAGTGCTGAATAAGTTGAAAATGGCTGGAGATAGGTTGTTGGCTTCAAATTATGGACCAGTTATCCTAACATCCATTGTGGGAAAATTGATGGAATTGGTAATTGCCAAGGCTATTCAGAGCCACCTTGAAAGACATAAATTGATCAATGAATCTCAGCAAAGACCCCAGTGGAAATGTGTTTTGTTTTTTGGGTTATCCTAGGTAATTTACACAATGTTAAACTATGTATGATGATTGTGCTTATGTGTACCTGTACCTAAATAAACTTTAATTTAGAGGAGCATTCCTGAATTATGAATTTACTAACTTTTCACTAAGGTATTTGAGGTGGTAGATCGTGATAATGAATGATAGTGTACATGGACTTCAGTAAGGCTTTTGATAGTTCCACACACAGATTGTCGAGAAAAGTAAAGGCACATGGAATAGGAGGGAAAAATTTTTCCTGGATCGAGGCTTGGTTGACAGATGGGCAACAGAGTTTGCATAAATGTGGAAAAAGCAGAGCGTGGACTTGTCACAAATAGTGTTGCACAGGGGTTAATATTGGGCCCTTTGTTGTTCACAATATACATAAATGAAATAGATGAGGGAATAAGTAATGGCATGAGCAAATTTGCTGATGACACTAAAATAGGCTGTCAGATTAATTCTGATGAGGAAGAGTGCTACAGGAAGATAGGTTGATGCAATGGTCAGAGAAGTGGCAGATGTAGTTTAATGTAGACAAATGCAAGGTTCTAAGCCTGGGAAAAAAGAACAACCATGGCACTTATCAACTGAGTAATGTAGAGCTCCATCACTGAATGTGAAGATGATTTAGTTCTGGTTAGCAGCAGTAATCTACAGTGCATAAGTGATTTGTTTGTAATCATGTTATAGTTTCAAGAGTCATGATAGTGGCTTTGAGGGAACTTGAGCTAGAGTTCATCACAGCATTGCTGGTTGGGGATTCGTCTTAAAAGCCTGCATTTGTGGTCACAGTGGGGCCCATGCTAACCCCCCTATGGTGTATAGAATTGTACCTAGTTGAATGAATCTTTGTTGAGCCAGCTGGCCAAGTGGTTGATACACTGGCCTGTGAGTTTTAGGACTCGCTTGTCATGGATTCAGATCCCCACCCATTCTGTGGTTAGTGCTTAAGTGTTTGCTCTAAAGCTAATGGAATTTTTGGCTTCATATCAATAAGTATAAATAATAGACATCAATTTGATTTTTTGGGTTATCCTAGGTAATTTACACTGTGATTGTACTTGTGTACCAGTGCCTAAATAAACTTACTTGGTAAGGCCTCAGTTATGTTCCCCCTATTACAGAATAATAATATTAATAATAATAATATCTTTATTTACTACAAGTACATGTACAAGGTATACAGGCCTAGCTGACATCAGTGACATACTACTGTACTATATAGAAAACTGCTTGTTATGCAGAGAATTTCGGGCAAATTAGGTCAGTTTTGTCCCAGGATGCAACCCACACCAGTTGACTAACTCCCAGGTACCCATTTTACTGGTGGGGAACGTAGACAACTGGTGTAAAGAAACACACCTAATGTTTTTACCCTTGTTGGGAATCGAACCCAGACCCTCGCTGTGTGAAGAGAGAGCTTTATCCACCAGGCCACGGGGCATGAAAGTGCTGGAAAACATAGAAGGGTGACAAAGTTGATACCATGTATCAAATCTTTCCTAGGGATAGATTGAGGGCACCGAATCTGCGCTCTCTGGAAATATTAGGATTCATACACAAATAACCTGCACATAGAAGAGATTAGTGGGGATGTGGCTGAAGTGTATAAATGGAAGATAAATAAATAAAGGGGATATAACTTGCTAAAAATACAGTGGATCCTCGGTTATCGTCCGTAATCCGTTGCAGAAAGTTGGCCCAAAACCGAAATGGCCCAAAACCAAAATATTTTGTAAAGATCATAGTTTTACATACACAAAACAGTGAGAACTAAATAAAATAAATGCATGAACAATTAAATCACTATTACATACCTTTATTGAAGACCGCATGCAACTGCCTTGCCTTCTCTCAAATAATCGACTCCACAACACTATCTCCCGCTAATTTTTTTTGGTGATCCACAACAATAACTTCTATTTTTTTTTTTTATTATCACACTGGCCGATTCCCACCAAGGCAGGGTGGCCCGTAAAAGAAAAACTTTCACCATCATTCACTCCATCAGTCTTGCCAGAAGGGTGCTTTACACTACAGTTTTTAAACTGCAACATTAACACCCCTCCTTCAGAGTGCAGGCACTGTACTTCCCACCTCCAGGACTCAAGTCCTGGAGATGGGAAGTACAGTACAGTACAAAGGTCACCATTATTGGTGACCTTTGTTTTGTTAGCACATTTACTCCTTTCGCATATTAGCTTCCTTGATCTCTACTTTCTTTGCCAGGATAGAAGTGATTGTTGATTTGTTTTTCCCATACATCCTGGCAAGTTCCAGCACATGCACACCACTCTCATATTTTTCAGTAACTTCTTTCTTAAATTCCATCATGTTTCTCACTTTCTTTACCAAAGGAACTTTACTAGGAACTTTCTTTGGGACCATGGTTACCTATTTCGCAGTTGCACTTAATCAATAACCACGAAAAACAGTGGATTATAGTGAAATGTTTGGATGAATGAGCAGAAGCTTCCTCACTCGCCCAGAGACACAGCCAGACTGACGTGGGAGTGGCTGGTGGCAGCGGGTTGATGTGTCCCATGTGGCCAATAAGCAAAATACTGGCCGATAACCAGAAGCCGAAAAACCGGCCGATAACTGATTTGGCCGATAAGCGGAACGGTCGATAACCGAGGGTCCATTTTATCTAACCAAGACAAGACTTGCAGCAATGGGTTAAAGTTGGGAAAATTTCAGTTCAGAAAGGATGTTGAAAAGCACTAGGCAAGTAGCATTATTGAAGCAAGTAAGTTGGGTAGCTTTAACCCTTAAACTGTCCAAACGTAGATCTGTTTTCTCAACATTTGAAAGTATGTAAAAAAAGTATCTTTTTTTTTTTACATTTGAAAACGTGTAAAAAACATTGATCTACTTTTTTTATATATATATATTTGAAAATATGTAAAAAAAGTAGATCTACTTTTGGAGCACTACGCATGTGAATGTAATCTGCTTGGACAGTTTAACCCTTTGACTGTCGCGGCCGTATATATACATCTTACGAGGTACCATGTTTGACGTATATATACTCATAAATTCTAGCGGCTTCAAATCAAGCAGGAGAAAGCTGGTAGGCCCACATGTGCGAGAATGGGTCTGTGTGGTCAGTGTGCACCATATAAAAAAAAAAATCCTGGGGCACACAGTGCATAATGAGAAAAAAAATCTCCGTTTTTTTTTTTTTTTTTTTTATTATTAAAATGCCGACTTTGTGGTCTATTTTCGTATAGTATTTATGGTTGTATTCTCGTTTTCTTGGTCTCATTTGATAGAATGGAAAACATATTATAGAAATAGAGGTGATTTTGATTGATTTTACTATAAAAAGAATCTGGAAATGGAGCTCAAAATAGGGGAAATGTTTGATTTTTGCCAATGTTCAAAAGTAAACAAATGATGTCATTATCCAATAAATGTCCAACTAGCCATTCTAATATGCAGTCATGAATGGGTTGATGTTTATACAATTATTACAGTATTGCAGTAGTCTGCATAATAGTAAGTCTTCTATTTTTTGTTTGAATAAAAATTCAAAATAGAAAGCAAGAGTAATATCAGAGGGGCCTGGAGACATGACTGATGAACAAATAAAATGTTATTTTACAGCCAGGAATGTCTGCATTGTTCATTCTGGACCTTATTTTGAAATTGTCATATTTTTAATTTTCGTGAAATTGGCCAAATTGCAAATTTCTGACCACATTATTGGGTAGTTGAAATCGGTAAATGGGCAGTTTCTTGTACTCAATCGATAGAAAAAATGGAGTTCTAAAGAAATAGCTACGAGTTTGGTCGACTGGAACAACGGAATTAGCCGAAAATAGGGCTCAAAGTGGGCGAAATCGCTGATTTGTAAATATCGCCGAGGTCGCTAACTTCGTGAGAGCATAATTCCATCAGTTTTCCATCAAATTTCGTTTTTTTTGGTGTGATTACAATCGGGAAAAGATTCTCTATCATTTCATAAGAAAAAATATTTTTTTTTTTAAATAGTTTAGAGAAGAACATAAATGGGTGTGGGTGTTGAGTTGACCTAGCATAGCCAGTAGGCCTGTTGCAGTGCTCATCTTTTGTTCTTAAGTAATAATCGGAACAGCTAAGTAAATCATCACAGTTTACAAGCTACCAGTATGGTAAAAGAACCAGTATATGTAATATGATCCTTTATTGACAACATTTTGCCCAAACAGTGGGCTTTATAAAGTCAGAAACCAGGCAGATTTAATTTATGTATTATAACTTCAAATACTACAGTGGAACCTTGGTTTTTGTCATTAATTCGTTCCAGAAAGTCTGACAAGCTGAATTCGACGAAAACTGAAGCAATATTTCCCATAAATAATGTAACTCCAATTAATCCGTTCAGACACCCAAAAGTATTAACAAAAAATACATTTTATAAAGAATAACTATAGTTTTACATACAGAAAACAATGAGAAATACAGTGCTCCCCCGCTTTTCGTAGTTCCCGGCAATCGTAAAATTCACCAATTATAGAGGTATTTTCGTATAAACATGGACTCGCTTTTCATAGGTTGACTCGTGAGTCGTAGTTCGTCCGGGACGCGTACCCACGGCGTGAGCCAGGGCGGCAGCCAGTCTGGCATTGTTTACCAGTGAGCGAAGGTCCCCTTACGTGCTCCAGCGAAATATTTCATAATATTCCATTTATTTTAGTGCTTGCAAGTACTAAATAAGCTACCATGGCTCCAAAGAAAGCTCCTAGTGCCAAGCCTGTGGTAAAGAAGATGAGAAATACGATTGAATTTAAGAAAACCATCATTGAACAATATGAAAGTGGTACAAGTGTGGCCGAACTGTCCAGGATGTATAAGAAACCCTACACAACCATATGTTCCATAGTGGCCAAGAAAAATGAAATAAAGGATGCTGTTGTTGCAAAGGGAGTAACTATGCTGACAAAAATGAGATCACCAGTACTGGAAGAGGTTGAGAAGTTATTATTGGTGTGGATAAATGAGAAACAATTAGCAGGAGATACTCTTATGACTTCGTTTATTTGTGAAAAGGCTAGGCAGTTGCATGAAGATTTGGTAAAGAAATTGCCTGCAAATAGTGGTGAAGTGAGTGAATTTAAGGCCAGCAAAGGCTGGTTTGAGAGATTTAAGAACCGTACTGGCATACACAGTGTGGTAAGGCATGGTGAGGCTGCCAGTTCGGACCACAAGGCAGCTGAAAAATATGTGCATGAATTCCAGGAGTACATAGAGGCTGAAGGACTGAAACCTGAACAAGTGTTCAATTGTGACGAAACAGGCCTCTTTTGGAAGAAAATGCCAAAGAGGACCTTCATTACACACGAGGAAAGGCAATGCCAGGACACAAGCCTATGAAAGACAGGCTGATGCTAATGTTCTGTGCTAATGCTAGTGGGGATTTCAAAGTGAAGCCATTACTAGTGTACCATTCAGAAAATCCCAGTGTGTTCAGGAAAAACAATGTTATGAAGAGTAAATTGTGTGTGTTTTGGAAATTTAATAGTAAGGCATGGGTCAGATTGTGTCGACAAGAGGGATTTTGAAGAATTTGGGACTGACCCTAATGAGCCTATGTCTGTTGTAAAATCAATTGTGGCACTGGGGAGTTCCATGGGGTTGGATGTGAGTTTGGAGGATGTGGAAGAATTGGTGGAAGACCACAATGAAGAGCTCACCACTGAGGAGCTGCAAGAGCTTCAGCAGGAAGAGCAACACATCACAGCTCAGAATCTTGCTGCAGAGGAGGAAGAGAGATGGAAGAAGGTGCCTTCTTCAGAAATTAAAGAGATTTTTACTATGTGGGGTAAGATGGAAAGCTTTATGGAGAAACATCACCCTAACAAGGTTGTTGCAAGCCAGGTTGGCAACATGTACAGTGACAAAGTCTTGGGCCATTTTAGGGAAGTGTTAAAGAGATGCCAGAAACAGAGCTCTCTCCACAGTTATTTTGTGAGACAGGACTCCAGTGACTCTCAAGGTGGTCCTAGTGGCATTAAGAAACAGAGAAGAGAAGCAACCCCAGAAAAGCAAATGGTACCTGAGGTGTTGATGGAAGGGGATTTCCCTTCCAAACTATAAACAATCCACTCTCTCTCTCCTCCTCCAGTCTCCCATACACTAAGAAGAATCTCCAATGAAGGTAAATGTTATGCTGTTAATGTTTCATTCATCATTTCCCATTGTATTGTTTATGTACTACATGTATATTTCATGTTAAAATTTTTTTGTTTCAATACTTCTGGGTGTCAGGAACGGATTAATTGTATTTACATTATTTCTTATGGGGAAAATTGATTCGTAAATTTCGTTTATAGTAACGGCTCCAGGAACGGATTAATTACGAACAACGAGGGACCACTATAAAGGACTAATAAAATGGATAAATGAACGTTTAACATCACTTTTACCTTTAGTGAAGACTTATTGGCATATGGAAGATGGCAAAGAGGGGAGAGGGAGGAGAGGTTATCTCTACCACCATCACTGCCACCCTCTACCACCATCACTGACACCCTCTACCACCATCACTGCCGCCCTCTACCACCATCACTGCCGCCCTCCACACACCATCACTGCCGCCCTCCACCGTCACTGCCGCCCTCTACCACCGTCACTGCCGCCCTCTACCACCGTCACTGCCGCCCTCTACCACCGTCACTGCCGCCCTCTACCACCGTCACTGCCGCCCTCTACCACCGTCACTGCCGCCCTCTACCACCGTCACTGCCGCCCTCTACCACCGTCACTGCCGCCCTCTACCACCGCCACTCTGCCGCCCTCTACCACCGCACTGCCGCCCTCTACCACCGCACTGCCGCCCTCTACCACCGCACTGCCGCCCTCTACCACCGCACTGCCGCCCTCTACCACCGCCACTGCCGCCCTCTACCACCGCCACTGCCGCCCTCTACCACCGCCACTGCCGCCCTCTACCACCGCCACTGCCGCCCTCTACCACCGCCACTGCCGCCCTCTACCACCGCCACTGCCGCCCTCTACCACCGCCACTGCCGCCCTCTACCACCGCCACTGCCGCCCTCTACCACCGCCACTGCCGCCCTCTACCACCGCCACTGCCGCCCTCTACCACCGCCACTGCCGCCCTCTACCACCGCCACTGCCGCCCTCTACCACCGCCACTGCCGCCCTCTACCACCGCCACTGCCGCCCTCTACCACCGCCACTGCCGCCCTCTACCACCGCCACTGCCGCCCTCTACCACCGCCACTGCCGCCCTCTACCACCGCCACTGCCGCCCTCTACCACCGCCACTGCCGCCCTCTACAACCGCCACTGCCGCCCTCTACCACCGCCACTGCCGCCCTCTACCACCGCCACTGCCGCCCTCGACTGACTAGAAATGAAGCCAGACTGACTTGGAACACGTGGGATGCTTTGTGTGGGTGCAGGCGGACACGTTTGGTACGGCGGACCGCTGTCAACTCGACGAAAACTGAAGTGATAAGCTAAAACTGGGACAAAATTTTGATGGAAAAAATTTGTCAAAAATCAGGACAAACAAAAACTGAGGTTCCAGTGTGTGTAAATTCAACCAGTACAAACACACAAACTAATCTTGAGCTCTATTTTATGATCATTACAGTAAGCTTTGTCAGTGAAGATACTGTTTATAGTTACATGGATGGGGAGCTATTTCTCCTAAATTAATTCATTATTTGCTTATATATTTTGTTAATTTCAGCTAGCAAAGGATCTTCTACACCCTTCACCCATTGAGGAGAAAAGGAAATGTAAGCTCAAGCGTCTTGTACAGCACCCAAACTCTTATTTCATGGATGTAAAGTGCCCAGGTGAGTCAATTTTTTTTTATGACTTTTATTTATAAACTTTCTAAATTTCTGTATACAGCCTCTCCTCACTTAATGACGAAGTTCTGTTCCTAAGACCAAGTTGGTAAACAAAGTCGTTGCTAAGTAAGGAGCATACTATAATGGTAATGGGTTTGTCATCTTTGCACCATTTATAACATTTCTGGTATATTTTTAAATGTTTATACAGTAGTGTACGTATATTGTAATAAACAGAATAGAGGAAATCAGCTCTAATATACATTATTTAGGTATGCATACTAGTCAGAGAACCCATTGTAAGTCAGAGTCGTCGGTAAAAGAGTACATAGCTAAGTGAGGAGAGGCTGTACAGTATTTCACAATAAATACAGTAAATGCAGCTCAGAATATAAATTTTAACTGGTGAAATCTAAATTATTTTGGTTTGTGTTTTGCTCCATTTTTCCTTAAAATTCTGAAATAAGATTTGTTCAGAGTTTTAACCTGGAGGGTTAGCCATCTAGGATAACCCAGATAAGTTAGGGAGTCATCAAGGACTATTATTTCCATTTCCATTGGGATCCTTTAATCTTGGCCCCAGGATGTGACCCACACCAATCGACTACACCCAGGTACCTACTTACTGCTAGGTGAACAGGGACAGCAGGTGTAAAGAAATGCCCAACATTTCCACCCATGTTAGAGATCAAACCATGGACACTGGTCTGGTAGACCTGGTCTACCAGACCAGATATCCTGGTGGATGACCTGATCAACCAGGCAGTTGGTGCTAGCCACATGTAGTTGAAAGTATGCACCAGACCTTGTTGATCAAGAAGTATCTTATAGGAATATGTCCAGTTCTTTCTAAGCCAGCTGGGTGTTGTTAATTTCCCATATTTATGATAGGATGATATTGGGAAGTCTTGGTCCCTTCATACTTGAGTTTTTTTCCCTGCTTCTGATGGGGGATTTTTGCTAGCATCTGCCTAGCCTCTAGCATGCATGTAGAGTAATTTGTGTGCACAGATTTGGTATCAATCCTCAAGAATTTTGCAGGTGTAGATTATAATTGAAACTACCACTGCTTTCAGCAAACCAGATGTATCCCACCGAGGCAAGGTGACCCAAAAAGAAAAACAAAAGTATAACTGAAACATTGTAGTCAGAACTCTTTAAATTTATCTCATACTCTACTTCATTTTTCTGAGTACACTTAAACCTTTCTGCCTAGCTAGTGAAAACTGACTCCTGTTTTTACTGGATACACTGGCATTTGTGTAGGCATCACCAGTTTTAATTTCTGAATTAAGACACTACCAGTCCTTTTGATTAAACTGTTTTTTAGATCAGTTTATTACTTTGGTGCTAATGCCATGCTGGTATCTGTTAACTGAGAATTTTGTGCATGTTTCCTTATACTTGCTGCCCCTGTTCACCTAGCAGTAAGTCAATACCTGTGAGTTAGCAGACGGTTGTGGGTTGTATCCTAAGGGATGATTAAAGGATCCCAATAGAAATAATCCCCGTTGATGCACTGACACTGGGTGGCTAAGCCTCTGGGTTAAAACTCTGAACAAAATCTTAGTAAATTTTTCCAAATTTAAGCTGGAATAATTCCTATGGAAGCTGTTTTAATTTATCTTTATTGCATAAAGCAACTATAATAACGGTGTAAGGGTCAGATTACCAATATTTTCCTCTAATGACCAAGGAGATAAAGAAAATGCATTTTCTTTGGGGAAATGTTTGTAGCACTGAAATTGACATGATGGCATGTATCTCAGTAGTAGTACCAGTAACCAGTGTACCAGTAGATGACTCATTACCAACCGTCTCTGCGTGAATCACTGTCTGTATTCACATTGTTGCTGACCACAGCAGTATTCAAACACCCCCCTCACATATGGGTACTGGGGTTAGTTAGTTTGACTCATTACCAACCGTCTCTGCGTGAATCACTGTCTGTATTCATATTGTTGCTGACCACAGCAGTATTCAAACACCCCCCTCACATATGGGTACTGGTGTTAGTTAGTCTTACGAGAGAGAGCAAGGAGGCAGGCCACGGCTGTTTGGCTCTTCCATACTACCGTTATAAATATACGTACTTCCAGCCTACGTGAGTATTTCTTTTCCCTATCCACGTGTTCGAACCCCACATGATATGTAAATATAATACTGTATGATACTTCTATAGTATTTCTGTAAAAAAAAAAAAAAAAAAAGTGCAACAACTTTTTCAAAAGTGTTTCCCTCTATCCCAGGTTATTTGAATCTTGGCAAAATTTGTCAAAAAATATATTTGGAAAGTTTTACAAGGGTATAGGATTGTAATGTGAATGTGTCAGCACATTATGTAATGTGAAAAGGAATACTACCACTTTACAAATAAGTCATTAAATGGTGTAATTTTCTTTACAGGATGTTTCAAAATTTCTACAGTTTTCTCCCATGCCCAGACAGTAGTTGCATGTGTTGGCTGTGCAACAGTTTTATGCCAACCAACGGGAGGAAAGGCTAAACTTACAGATGGTAAGGTTTATGTATTTGTCTCCAATTCTGGTAATATGTTTCACTCTGACTGTCTTATGAAGATTTCAGTCGGGTAGTGTACTTTATTATTGTAATCAAAACTAAGTGTTAATGGTAGTGTATAGTACCATCACATGGTAGGAAAGAAAATGTTATCTAGTGACTATACAGGATTAGCAAGATGGATGTATTTTCCAAGAACAAGGAATTTCTCTAAATTTATTTTATTCATATACTTGGTGTGGTGTTCTAGCATTTTTAATATGCATATTTGTAGACCTGACCCAAGATGCCTATTCTTGTGTTGGGGGGATAATGTATGCAAAATTATTAGGAGTGTGCTGTTGTACCCTAAGACACTTTTGGGCTATAGCCACACAACTCCAAACATTTATCAATGAAAAATTGCTAATACAAGTTTTAAAGATAATAAGGGAAATGATCTCTCGTAAATATCTCAACAGTTACATAGTGAACCCTCAATTTAATGGACTAAGAGAAGGGGTGTTTGTTATAGCTGGTTATCTGTTTTTTCCACAATTATAACAGTAATGGACACATCTGGTTTAATGTACTTTGTCCATTAAATCCACATTCAATTTATCCAGTAAACCATAACACTGATTCTGGAATTTATTATTATTATTAAAGATTTACCGGTATTCTCCCGGCCCGGGCCTTTTCCAAGTGGTGGCCCGGCTTTGGCTCCCTGCCTTGGGAGTGTCTGAGACCTAAGTCTCCCATGGGGGGAGGCACAAGTACCTCCTCATCTTTGGGACCAACTGTCCCCAGGCCTAGCCACAAGCTAGGCCTCTTTGGTCTACCATCCCCACCTCAAGGGGGCTAATGGGAATGACAGGCTTGTGAGCTGCAAGCTCTGGCTCAGGCACCTACCCTGCCTTAGAAGGTCTGGACATGGTGTCGATGACCGATTCTAGAATTAATAGTTTTGGGTGTTCAGCCAGATTTTTCTTAAACAGAGGTTATACTGTGATTACAAAATTTCATATTACACAACTTTGGTTGGCACAATATTGTAATTAAACTTTTCAAAAAGTACATTTTAAAAAAAATACAAAATTTGATATTAGCCACAGGCCAATTTAACAATAATAAGTACAGTAACATGCAATAGATTTTTTTTTTTTTTTTTTTTCCATTTTTGCCTGTCTGTCATCCCTGTACTGTAGTGAGTTAGCATGTTTCATGTCTGTCATGACCACTAAACACCTATTCTCCTAACCTAACGAAAGTTTTTAAAAAAAAAAAAAATTCACTTTTGATGTTTAAATTGTGTGGGACCCCCTTTATCAAAGTAAGTTGAAGGGAATATTCAGCTTAGATTAAGTTCAACCAAGCATTTATCACAATTGTGTAGTATACATAATGTAATATTATACATTAGACTGTAATTACATATTATCATGCCGTCTTCAGTATTGTTTATACTTAGGCTGTTAGTGATGAGGGATGTTGTGTGCAAGCAGTTCTGAGACTGCTTGCATTCAGCACATCTGTCTCACTCTCTGCAGATAGAGGATCAAGCCTCCATCACATCTTGTGCTGAATTACTCACATGGGTTTAACCCTTAGTTTAATAAAACATTAGTCAAGTCACATGTCTTATGCAGGAAAATCTGAATACTAGTTTGAGTTCTTAAAAAGTGAGTGATAAAGAAGTGGTTTCTGGAACTTTTATCTACCTGCTTCAAATCTGTTACTGTACTTTGTTTTTTATTGTTTATGCCTTACACAGTACGTGGTTTTAATAAATACTAGTGTGAAGGCCAATGACCATATGAAGACCTATTGTCCATAAAATGTATCACTGCTTGGCATATTATGTAATGTTTGAGATTAGCATAAACAGGACATATACAGTTGTCTTATATCATTTAATTTTTCTTATACTACCATAATTTATTTTTCCAGGATGTTCATTCAGGAGGAAGCAGAATTAAGCATGGTGTGGGACCTTTCCCTCCCAGTGTTGCCTTTTTTCTCTGTCATTATGTACTCCGACAGTAATAAAGATCTCACTGAGAGGTAATACTTATTTTATTACCCTGATTGTATATATAATAATCCAATGTAAAAATTACAACATTTATACATCTAATTAAGACTGCTTATGGAATAGACCTTTGTTGTATAATATAGTCAGCCTTATGATCTGTACTGGTTGGGCACATTTTATGCTCTTGATCCCGGGAACTGGACTTGGCTTTCCCTTCTTTTAGATCACACCTGCATTCCTCTCAGGCACTGTATGACCTCTAGGGGTTCACATTCATTAAAATAAAACAAAAATAATGTATATAGTGTGCACACTTCCTGAAAAAGAGATTGCCTTGAAACTAAAGGGCTCTTTATCCAGAGAATTTTGGATATCCCATTCCCTGAACCTGTATGATCCCTACAGGATGTTGGTTAGGGGCTCTTGATTTAGGGAATTGGATCTGTGCTCCAGTTCCCCGAATTAAGCCTGAATGCCTCCCACATCCCCCCCCCCCAGACGCTGTATAATCCTCCGGGTTTAGCGTTTCCCCCTTGATTATAATAATAATAATGTATGATCCCTACAGGTTTGGTGCTGGCCCATATAAAAACTGGTTGTAGTGCTTCCCCATGACTAAAACATCTTAGAAGTGACTGGCATGGTCTACAAACCTGCTCAGCACTGTAAGACGCTTGTGGGTTCAGCGCTTGCTTTTGACTGTAATGCAAACCTCTAAAGGGGTTTCCCTTGTAAAGAAGCACTTGGTAAGAGGACATGATTTGTAGAACCATTTGTTTAAAGTTGAACCCACATAGGCTTCGAGTTTATGCAGAGTACATTTGACATGACAAAGGTCAGTTTGAGGGAGGTGCTCAGGTAATGGATGACACAAGGCTCGATTACCTGCACTGTTTTGGATAATTTTTTTTTTAATTTAGCTATAGAGTTTTGGCAGTGCTAAATGTCTCTTGTTTGGTGGTATTGTAAGTTGGACGTTTGTATGCACTGCCTCCAATAACTTTTTTATTCATTTATTTTGGCTTTGGGTGAAGGCTTCCCAATACATATACAGTATACTTTTGCACAAGGAGCACTGTAAACCCATTTGAATATTGGCATGATTACAATAAGTTGGTCTTAGTTATATCCTGAATGGTTTTATAGGTGACATTCATGATGTCACTGGAGGGCCTGTTAAATCTAGTTGGCCACATCACTAGTGCAAAGATGACTTCTTGTTGCTTCTTGTGTTCAGTTTTGGAGAATATACTTTGCATTAATGGTTAAAGATGACAAGTAGGGAACTTCAGCTTCATTAAGCTATTTTGTGATCGTAATGCAATATGCTCGCAAAATGCCATTTTTTTTTTTTTAATTCATTGGTATTTGGTGTATGTACATTATATTCATGCATAGAGTTCATGTTTGGTATAGATTAGCCAAGAACTGCAGATTAAATTACCTCATTCTGTGGTAACTGAAGTCTTTGTAAGCTTCCTCTCCCAAGTCCTGGTTATTTGTGAAGTGCTCCATCCATGATACTGTGACATTATTTCTTTTCCTGCATCAGGGTTATAAAGATGCATGTTCATAAATCATTGCCTATATGTTGATTTTTATACATTTTCTGATAGCACTGGTTTATCATCAGTTTTATGTGACTTGCGCAGGTTTAGTGTGCATGTTGGAAATAAACAAATTACCACAGAAGGTGGTAAGGTGATTAAATGAATTTCCTTTTAAACAAGGTTCACTTTTTTTTTTTACTACACTGTCTATCTGCACCATGTTTTTACCAAATGATTTTATACTTTGCTCATCAGGGGAATGTGTGGAGAGTTAGCCTTTTTGGTAACAATGAATAGTTACACTAGAGCATTAGCTGAGGGGGCCCCTTCTGGTCACCAGTATGGAATAAGCTTGGGCACCACCTCGTCCCACAACCGTAGGTTCCTTTCAGTGGCTCGAATTGTGTAAGCATGAACTACTGCTGAAGAAGGAAATGTAGTGAATGAGTAAATAAGAGGAAAATGGACCATCACCCAACTTGAAAACAAATTCACTTCACAGAAAACAGATATTAATACACCACATTTGATCATCAAATAAAAAATCTAGTGCAGCATTAGTTAACACAAGTTTGGCCAAAATACTGTAAACAATAATTCTGGAAAAAAACAGCAACCTCATTCAGTCAGCAGACCTACAATAACCTATTTAGAGAATTACCGAGACTACTTTCATTTATTCATATCTGGACTTAATGCATGCTTGTAGAGGAGCTGTTATCAAAAATATGACTGATCATTACCCCAATTTCCTAGTCACCAGTGATAAGGCATCACTGAACAATTTTATGCTGTATAGCCCTTGTGGCTTAGCGCTTCTTTTTGATTATAATAATAATGAACAATTTTATAATGACACTTGGCAGTCAGTAAGAAACTGGCAGTGGGTTTTTATAACACTCAAGACATTAATTTATGTGCCCTGAATGTTGCAGCTATTAGATGGGACTCGGGAAAACCGGTGATCTGGACTTTGTTCAGGAAGTGGGAGGTACAGTGCCTGCATTCTGAAGGAGGGGGTAGGGATATTTACAGTTTGGAGGAACATCTGAACTCTGGTATGCTGTATAGCCCTTGTGGCTTAGCGCTTCTTTTTGATCATAATAATAATAATGAACTCTGGTATAAGCATACCTCTGGCAAGACAATGAGAAATGGAAAGTGTTTTTCCCTTTTTGGGTCACTCAGTGGGAGATGGCCAGTGTTAAAAAAAAAAAAAAAAAAAAGTATCCCTGCAAAATATTCAAAGCCTCTACAATAAACATTGTCCTTTAAAAACTAAATGTGTCATAAAAAAATAAGAAACAATACAGAGTGGGCTTAATACCGAAACAGCGCTGTATAGCCCTTGTGGCTTAGCGCTTCTTTTTGATTATAATAATACCGAAAGGCTGTATAGCCCTTGTGGCTTAGCACTTCTTTTTGATTATAATAATAATACCGAAAGAATCGGCGAAAAACAAACAAACAAATAGAACTCGCCAATATCTGGAGGGGGATTTGGGAGTCAACGCCCCTGCGGCTCGGTCCATGACCTGGTCTCGCTGTTACTGCTGGTCCCCTCGTGGGGGGTTCCTTGATGCTGGTGATTGGCTCGTGATTAGGGAATTGGATCTGCTCCAGTTCCCTGGATTAAGCCTGAATACCTTCTATCCCCCCCAGGTGCTGTATAATCCTACGGGTTTAGGACTCCACCATGATTATTATAATAATGTTACTGCTGGTGGCATGTAAACCGACGTACGAGCCACAGCCCGGCTGGTCAGGTACTGACTTTAGGTGTCTGTGCAGCTCCTTGAAGATAACCAGGGGTCTATTTGTAATCCTTCTTATGTATACTGGGAGGCAGTTGAACAGTTTTAGGCCTCTGACACAGCGTACTCGTGGCGCCTCTTTTTCACTGGGGGGCTGTATAGCCCTTGTTGTTTAGCGCTGCTTTTTTTATTATAATAATTCATTGGGGAGGGGGGAGTGTTGCATCGCCTGCCGAGTCTTTTGCTTTCATATGGAGTGATTTCTGTGTGCAGATTTTGGATTAGTCCCTCTAGGATTTTCCAAGTGTGTATTATCATGTACCTTTCTCGCCTGCGTTCCATGGAGTACAAATCAAGGGACTTTCAGCCGCTTCCAGTAATTTAGGTGCTTTATGGTATTTATACTTGCCGTGAAAGTTCTCTGTATATTCTCAAGGTCTGTAATTTCGCCTACCTTGAAAGGGGCCGTTAGTGTACAGCAATACTCTAACCTAGAGAGAACAACCGATTTGAAGAGAATCATCATGAGCTTGGTATCTCTAGTTTTGAAGGTTCTCATTATCCATCCTATCATTTACCTGCCAAATGTGGTAGATACATTTTTGTGATCTTTAAAAGTGAGATTCTCTGACGCTATCACTTCTATGTCCTTCACAATAGTTTTTAGCTCTTTTGTGTGGTTGGAATTTGTTTTATACTCCGATCCAGTTTTTATTTCCTCGAGTTTTCCATAGCGGAGTAATTGAAATTTGTCTTCACTGGACTTCATATTGTGTTCTGCGGCCCGTTTAAAGATCAAGGAAGGTCTGCTTGGAGATTTGCAGTGTCTTCGATGGATGCCACTGTCAAGCAAATTCGGGTATCATCAGCACAGCAGGACACAGTGCTGTGGCTTACATTTGTCTGCGTCATATGAGAATGAGGCAAACGATGGGAGAAAGTACTGTACCTGGTAGAACAGAGCTTTCCTCTATAGCCACCTCTGAATTTACTAATACTACTTTAGGAAGTTATAGATCCATCTACCCACTTTTCCTGTCATTCCTTTATCACGCATTTTGTGTGCCATTACACCATGATCGCCGAACTTGTCAAAGGCTTTCGCAAAATCTGTTTATACTACATCTGCATTTTTTTTTGTTCTCCAGAGCATCCAAGACTATGTGATGGTGATCTAGTAGCTGTGAGAGGCAGAAGCGACCTGCTCTAAACCTGTGGAATTTTTTTAAATAATTTTCCTGTAATTTGTGTGTAAGAATTGATGGGTATAATAATGTTTATGTGAAATTGTGTAGGTGTGTATCTTCAGTGACTTTTAAAAGATGTTCTGTGATATGAGAACTAATATTCTCTATTATTTCTTTATATTCTATAAGGAGTTGAATAAGTGAAAATGACTAATTTAGAGGAAATTAATATTTCAGTAATGAAAATGTAGTACACACCTGGATGTGTTATTAAATTAACTGAAAAGATGTATTGGTAAACAAAAAGGGAGGAGAGCAGCGAAAATGGCAGAACGTATATTTACTGGGGAGTGTTGCAAAATTTGATCGTGGGTAATCGAAGCCGACGAAGAGTATGTCAGCAATAATTGGAGACCATGAAGTGAGTGAATATAATAGTTATCTGAAAGGGTTTAGATACATAGTAATCTGCCCATAATAAGGCTGATAATGAAGTTTAATACTGGACGCGGTGATTGGATATTTTGATCATCGTGTATACG